ACTCCTCCGGTTTCGGTCTCTAAGTTACCTCCGAAGGTGTTTGGGTGTGTTGCTTATGTTCATGTCTACTCCCATCAACGGAGTAAACTTTATCCTTGTGCTCTCCGTTGCGTATTCATTGGCTATTCTACTACTCAGAAGGGTTATAAGTGCTATCACCCGCCTATGTAGAAGGTACATGTTACTTTGGATGTCACCTTTCATGAAGAAGTACCCTATTATGTTTCCCCCTCCTCTTCAATTCAAGGGGAGAGGGGGAATGAATTAAAGAGTTTCAGAGTAGAAAATGTGGAAGATATTGGACCTGAAGAAGGAATTTCTGGTGAACAGGAAGCAACCGGTCGCATGGAGGAAACGACCGGTCGCGAACGAATCTGCCTGGATACGACCGGTCGCATAGAAGTGAGCGACCGGTCTCTAACGAATCTGCCTGAAAGCGACCGGTCGCACATAGGAAACGACCGGTCGCTTGCCTCGATGAGCGACGACAATGACGATACGAGTGACACGACCGGTCGCCAGGAATGTCACGACCGGTCGCCCGGTGATATTTTGGAATTTTTCGAGCCTCTCAGAAGGACATAACAGTGATACTAGCGACTCTCGTACAGATGAAATTGATATAGGACCCCCCTCTGCCCTGCCACTGCCCCAATCAACTTGTGATAATGAGGTATTTTCTAGTGATGTGTCTACTTATTCATTGCCCCCACGCACTATCCGTGGGAAACCTAAAGTACAATATTCTCCTGATATACATGCCAAGTCCAAATATCTCATTAACCATTATATGTCAACTCATCGTTTATCTAAGTATATAACCTAAAGTAGCACCACGTAGTACAGTAGTACCACGTGGCACTAATAGCTTGGTACTACGGACTAATGATAAATTCTATGTTACATAAATTTGAATTAATGCGTTTTCCTTTGTTTTGTTTTTCATCCAAAATACTATCCTCTTTTTGGTATAGCATATGCAAACACATTTAGAAATTTTACAACAGAAGCAAGATCAATCTCACTATATATGCCTTCTAAACAAACAAACAAATAAAACAAGAATATTAATTGCTTTAATCACTCATTACACTTAGTTTACTAACAGATGATACAGAAAGGAAAAAGAAGGACCAGTAGGGAGAAAATGGTGAACTAAGGAGAGACTACTACTTCTGGTTCTTAGAAGGCATAACAGAAATAATAGAGCACACTGCTTGAACGCAAGTCAGTATTAGGAGGAAAACAGCTGCAATGACAGAAATAGTTGCCCAAGGTGTATTGAAATAATTTTGCCTCAAATTTGCCTTCCATTTGTGCCAAGGCTCTCTGCAGTAGCTATTGAGGCTCTCAGAAAGAGTAGCAAAGTGGTAGCCTTCACGATGCAAAACAACTCCTCTTCCGAGGTTGTTAATCAGAGTGCACACCTTATTGTCATCACCAAGCATATGTTCGACAATCCCATCCTTCAGAAGGTACTCCACATCCTTTTCGGTGTTCACGAAGTTATCCATGAGTGAAACATAATCGCTTATGTAATTGTTTTGGCAATGGCACTGTTCAAAGGCAATGAGGTTTCGGAGTGTGAGCTCCGTGTGATCGCTTATTTTTAGTTTTGGAATTACTAGAATCCCATCGTCGAATTTTATATCGAATAAGTTTCTGCTTGATGCCAACTTAAACTTGACCCCAGCCTGGTGTAGTTTTGTAATGCAGTGTGTAGTCATAAAATTTTTGCTTCGCCCTTCATTACTTTGATCTGTTTCCTCCAATTTTGTAAGATGTAAAGTTCTTATAAAATCAAGAAAATGTTCAACTTTAGGGTTACAACTACAAGAAGAAATTTTCTGCAAACTGTCTTCTGCCCCCTCTAAATCCAGTGAAATCAAGAAAATGTTCAACTTTAGGATTACTACTAGAAGAAGAAATCCTCTGCAAACTGTCTTCTGCCCCCTCTAATTCCAGTGTCATTGTCAAGAACTCGTAAGAGAGATTAATCATTGAAAGCTTCTTACTGTTAGAAGAGACTGTAATTATGTCAGGGTCAAAAAGATCTTCAAGAATGAAAAATGGCAGTTGATTTTCAAGCAATTGCATGTCAGGCGCTATATAATGTATCAACCATGGTTTGTTTAATATGCGGTCATTTTCGTCATTTTCCAATCCAATGATATTGAAATGTTGACGGCAACATCTCAATAAGAGTTCAATGATGAAGGCGGCATCCACAAGAATGATTCTTACGAATTCATCACTGTTAAACTTTGTGCTTTCTTCGTAACAACTACGCAGCTTTGCTTCGTGGTACTTTATTTTCTTTACATACTCCTCCAAGCTTACCCTGGTCCGCGTTAAAAAACCTTGCAGGTACCTTTTTTTGTGTTCTTCCATGGCTTTTAAGCTTTCCTTGCCATGGTGAAATGGGCCTATAGAGACTACTTGAGGTGTGTAGACCTTTTCATTTACGCGTCGTAGTCGATCAGGAACCCTATAAATGCAACAGACCATAGGCGGCTGGGGAGACAACTTATTCAATTCATCTCTCATGCAAGTTGCTAATGGAATGTGTTGGTTTTCTATGTCAAATGGATCCTGATTTCCTTCCATTTGCCTCCTGATCTGTGTTGTTCCTTCTGATTGTAAAAAAATATGTACGAAACATCACAGAATCTATTCCAAATCAAACAAATGGATGCTTAAGATCAAACCAACCCTTAATTTGCGCTTATATATACACATCCAGAACTCTAGGCAACTCACATAAATCCCATCCCGGATGCCTTTAAAATTCTTTTGGATCCCTCCAAATTCATGCAAAACTCAGTTGGTCCTCGATTCATGCCACTTCTTAGAAAATTCAAAAGCAGTTTTGAATATAACTTGAAAACTGTTATATGGAAAATGGTTGTAGAATTAAGCTATATTACTAATCAAGCAGTGATTTAGCTATATTATTACTAAAATCATAGATAGTACTAGATATTATCCTCCTTTCTAAATTTCTCATGCTTTCAGTCAAAACACACACAGACAAACCAAAGTTCCATTGAAAGTAAAAAAACATTCGCATAGCCAATATTGCTTAATTCCAATTTCGTACGACGAACGTACTGTGAAATATAAGAAACTAAAAGCTTCAAGAAAATGGAAATGTGCTACAAATGAATATAAAGTGGAAAAAACAAGAACAAAAAAGGAAGTGAGTTAAATTTGCACCTGCCGTATGTTAGAAGGACCAAGTTGGTTCCCTTTGGTCGATTGCAAGAGAAGCTCAATGCAGCTTACTTGGTTCCTCTGGTAGATGAAAATATACTTTTTCTCCTAATAATGCAATCAATGATGGGATATATAGAACATCTTTTTGTTTTATATATTTATGTGAGACGTGTACCTTATCTTTTTGCCGGGCCATTAATTGAAGGCAGAGCATGGACTTGTGTTTATGTGAGGCGTTCTAGATGGGCTACATAGAATTTGTTTTTGTTTTATATGTTTATGTGCTCGAGACGCGTTTTGCCAGATCAAATTAATGTCTTCTAGCTACGTACCTTATCTTTTTGCAGAGTTGAATGCAGACGCAGAGCATGGACTTGGGTTGACTTGTATAAGACAAAAGACTGAACCAGACGTATGTTATTTTAATTTATTTATTTTAGTCCGAGCCAATTATTGCTCTCATATCACTTGTTGCAATACACATGGGTGTCAGGGAAAGATATGTTATAAAAAATATACAAAATATAGTTTTCCTTTTCCGTAAAGCCAAACACAAAAACATTATATTATAAATAACATATAAATAAATAGGAAAGATTTTAAGGTATAATGAAATTTAAGAAAACAAAATAATAGGTAAGTAAAAGGAAAATAAATAATAAGTAAGAAGGTGAGTTTGGTACGGTGAAGCACGTCAAAGACGCTGTCCTAAAGCCTTTGTAGCCTCCCTACGTGCAGGTACTGACGGTCTACAAGACTCCAAGATACGACCCCTTGTACACAAACTCAAGATCCGCTATGAGCACGTTCATAGACGGATATGGGTATCCAAGTCACAGAACCATTGCCAAAATAATAATATAAAGTAGATAATATATATAAAAGTAGAAAAGGAGAGAATTAGTTTATGGTGGTGATTGTGGTATGTGATATTCTGATAGTGTACTGTGTGTGTTTTAAAAGTGAAGGAGAAGTGGCCTTTTATAGGCATCCAACATGTAACCTTTACCAACCATAAAAGTTCACCAACCAAAAAATTAAGGCATTCACCAACCAGAAATAAAACCTGAATATTAAATATTTATAACCCCACAATAAATAAAATAAAATAGCCAAAATAAATAAA